CCCGGCACGGGAAGTCAAAGGCCGGCTGCTCGCAGAGGCAGCGCGCCGTTGGGAAACGGCTGTCCGCACCAGGCGCGCTGCTAACCCCCTTTCCGAGGGCCGACCCTCCAGCGCCCGCCCCAAGCTGCCGCTTAACCGCGGCGAGGAAGGGGATCCACGCTGCATCAGCCGTCGCTCCTGAGGCCCTTCCAGCTAGACGGGCTTCCCCTCCTCAGCCAGCTCGCCACCTGCTCGCCACGTGAAAGGGGAACTCCTAGCAGAGGACTGGGCTGTCCCGACGCCACCGCACGCCCCTGCTTCGCCCCTAAGAACGGGAAACGAGACAAGCCGCGACCTTCCCCAAGTCGCAGCGTGCCCCCACCGCGTCTCCCGCCTTTTAAGGCGCGCTGCCGTGCTTCCTGCACTCCTGCTAGTCCAATTTCATACTGTTAATTGAAGGAACTCCCACACGTTTTGTACTCGGACAGCTGATTTCCTTGGAAAGTCTCACAGAGCGCTGCCGACGTTAAACCCTTTCCTCCCACCAGGAGGCAAGAGGAAAGCTGGTGAGGGGACCAGGCGAGGGGAAAAAAATCACTTGACATGGAAAATTTCTGCTCAGGGAAGAGAGCCATTTATTAGAAATAGGATTTTTCACGCGAGAGCGCTCAGGCGCGCCGCGGGTCCGGGACGCCTGAGCAGGCGCGGAGGGCGAGAGCCGGGACCCACCAGCACCGGCAACGCCGGGCGGGAGCGCTGCGGGGAAGCCCTCGGGCTCCCCGTGCGAGCGAGCACCAAGGGCCCCCCTGCCCCGGGAGGGGCAGGGGCCTCCCAGCATCACGCACACCCCCAGCAAAGCCTCAGCTTCCAGACAACCCAACTTCACTGCAGAGATTAAGAGCGCAAATGATTTGCCCGGTTCTGGAATAAACCAGACGGACAGAGCTGGACACAAAGCTGCAAGATCCCAGTTTTGCTCCAGCAACGGAGTCACATTCCCTATTGTCACATCTCCTAAAAGCGGTCTGTCTCCATCCGCACGCGCCCCAAGGCTGGGAGACTCACGCTGACGGCTGCAGGGAGCCCAGAGCGAGTGACTGCTGACGCCAGTAAGAGCGTCTGGACCACCTTTAGCCTGCTCTGTCTCATTTTAATTTTGCTAAATCCCCAACTTCTGGAAGGTCTCGTGGGTTTCCTGCTCCGGAGCCTGGCCACC